AAAAAAAAAAAAGTAGCCAGGCATGGTGGTGCATGCCTATTGTCCCAGCTACTTGGGAGGCTAAGGCAGGAGAATTGCTTGAGCCTGGGAGGTGAAGGTTGCAGTGAGCCAAGATGTGCCATTACACTCCAGCCTGGGCAACAGAGGGAGACTCTGTCTCAAACAAACAAATGAAGTTACATTAGGCTAACGTCAGCTTTTCAGAAAAAGAAAAAAATTTTTTTTAGAGATGTGATCTCACCATGCTGCCCAGGCTGGAATGCTATGGCTATTCACAGGTGGAATCATCATGCACTACAGCCTTGAAATCCCGGGCTCAAGTGATCCTTCTGCCTCAGCTTCCCAAGAGGCTGGGACTACAGTGGTAGCTGTGCCACCACACCCAACTAGAAAATATTTTTTATAAATTTAGTGTAGCCTAAGGATACAGGGTTTAGAAAGTCTACAATACCATGCTGTAACATCCTGGGCCTTCACACTCACTCACTCGCCCACAGCAACTACCAGTCCTTCAAGCGTCGTTCACAGTAAGTACCCTAGGTGTATTATTTTTCATCTTGTATACTGTATTTGTACTGTACCTTTTCTGTTTAGATTTGTCTAAACACACAAATATTGGCCAGGCCCGGTGGCTTATGCCTGTAATCCCTGTACTTTGGGAGGCTGAGGTGGGTGGATAACCTGAGCTCAGGAGTTCGACACCAGCCTGACCAATATGGTGAAACCCCATCTCTAATAAAAATACAGCCGGGCGCGGTGGCTCAAGCCTGTAATTCCAGCACTTTGGGAGGCCGAGGCGGGTGGATCACGAGGTCAAGAGATCGAGACCATGCTGGTCAACATGGTGAAACCCCGTCTCTACTAAAAATACAAAACATTAGCTGGGCATGGTGGCACGTGCCTGTAATCCCAGCTATTCAGGAGGTTGAAGCAGGAGAATTGCCTGAACCCAGGAGGCGGAGGTTGCGGTGAGCCGAGATCGCGCCATTGCACTCCAGCCTGGGCAACAAGAGCGAAACTCCGTCTCAAAAAAAAAAAAGACAAGTAACAATAAATTGCAATACTTTATTATGCACCCAGAACAGACTCTTACAGTTTTATGTGTGTTAATCTTTTCTCTTTACTGATACTGTGTTGTTAGGAACTGAATGTTTATGTCCCCCCAAAATTCATATATTGAAGCCCTAACTTCTGTTGTGACAATATTTGAAGACAGGTTCTGTTAGATGATAAAGATTAAATTAGGTCATAAGAGTGGGACCCTAACCCCGCAGGGCTGGGGTCCTTATTTTATTTTTTTTGAGATGGAGTTCACTCTGTCACCCAGAGTGATAATATTTTATTGTGCAGTGGCACAATCTCGGCTCACTATAAACTCTGCCTCCTGGGTTCAAGCGATTCTCCTGCCTCAGCCTCCCAAGTAGCTGGCATTACAGGTGCCTGCCACCACACCTGGCTAATTTTTGTATTTTTAGTAGAGATAGGGTTTCACCATGTTGGCCAGGCTGCTCTTGAGCTCCTGACCTCAAGGGATCTGCCTGCCTTGGCCTCCCAAAGTGCTGGGATTACAGGCATGAGCCACCGGCCTCTTCCTCTTCTTATAAGGGCCCTAGGCCAGGTGGGGTGGCTCATGCCTATAATCCAAGCTACTCAAGAGGCTGAGGCAGAAAAATTGTTTGAACCCGGGAGGCACAGCTTGCAGTGAGCCAAGATTGTGCCACTGTACTCCAGCCTGGGCGACAGAGCGAGACTCCATTTCAAAAATAACAACTGTAAAAAAAAAACCCAGCCGGGCGCGGTGGCTCAAGCCTGTAATCCCAGCACTTTGGGAGGCCGAGGCGGGTGGATCACGAGGTCAAGAGATCGAGACCATCCTGGTCAACNGTATTTTTAGTAGAGACGGGGTTTCACCATGTTGACCAGGATGGTCTCGATCTCTTGACCTTGTGATCCACCCGCCTCGGCCTCCCAAAGTGCTGCGATTACAAGCTTGAGCCACCGCGCCCGGCCCTGTAAGTTTGGTTTTCATCCGCAAACAGCACTACTGTGTGGGAAGTTGTGATGGTATGGAGATGAAAGAGAGGGCCCCTACCTCCTGAGAAGTGACAACCTAGTGGGGGAAATAGATCTATCTTCCCAGCAGGGGTGAGAAGTGTCATTTTCACCTATTTATTTCAGCTGCCTTGGTGGTATGAAAGGGGCATCCCAACAGCACAGAAGCAGGACGCCTCCAAGGCTGCCTTGGCTGGCACCTGCAGCCTGAATCGGGAGAAAAGGGCTTTGCCAGCTCCCCCACCATCAAGGATGGGGACCCCCACTGTGCATAGCGTATCGGGTTTCTTCCCATGTGACTCCCAGGGACTCCCCTTAACTGAGTGGGGGTGGAGGGTGTCATCAGCCTTGCCCCAGACCTTGCCCTCAGGCCCACAGGGCCCCATCGGGGCCTGGCTATTACTGACACTCCCGTCACACTTGAGATGTAAGACAGCAGCTCAGGCCGGGCTTCCCTGGGCCCCCTGGAATTCTCGAGGCTTTCCGCTAACCCTCAGGCTTCCTCGGCTTCCCTGCCAAACCTGTATCTCCCTTTGCACCCCACCGCGCCCCCAAAGTCCCCACGCCCTTAGTCTGTTCCTTCAGTTCCCCAAATTCCTTCAGCCTCATCTCGACTCCCCTCCGTCCCTCTTCTAGGACCCCAAAAGCTCTCCTCGGCCCCAGGACCCCGCAGAGGTCCCGTAGTCCCATCTGTGGGGCCCCCACAAACCCCTTCGGACCCCTCAGCGGGCACTTAGGCCTCCGGAGATCCCCTGGCTCTCGAGGTATCACCGTCACTCACCTCAGACCCCAGCACCCCTTAGCCTCGCCCCGAACCCACCTCACACACCCAAAAAGACTAAACGCCGCTCTGTCTAGTCTCGCCCAACTCCCCCCACCCCAAAACGCCCTGGGCCTCCAGGCCCCGCTCCCGGAATCACCTGGGCCCCGCGCCCCACGCCCGGCCGCCCGGCCCACCTGCGCGTCCAGCTGGTTCAGCTGCTGCATGTCGCCGCTCACGGCCTCGGGCACTGGGTCCTGCGTGCAGTGCAGGCGACCCATGGCGCGCTCCCCGGCCCCGCAAGCCCCGCCGCCGCCGCCGCCCTGCTGAGCTTCCTCCGCCGCCGCCGCCGGCCTCACCGCGCATCCGCAACCGCACTTTCGCCACGGCCGCCGCCGCCGCTGCGCTCCTCCCCCTGCCGCCCTGGGCCGCGCGAGGCGGGGGCACACTCGCGCGGCGGCGGACACGCGCGACCGCCCGGCTCCGAGGAGAACCGAGGGGTTTCCTGCCAGTTCTCCCGCTGAGGGACCCCTGGGTACGGCGCTTGGCCTCTCTGAACCTCAGTTTCGCCATCTGTGAAAATGATGGCTGGGCTGGCTCCTTAAATGAGTTAAGCCTCCAGGAAAGTTTAACGCAGAGCCGGGCACCTAGGAGGCCCTCAATCAAAGGCTAGCTGCTATTATCGTCATCACCGTTATTATGCACTCGGCAGATATTTATGGCACGCCTACTCGACGCCAGGCATTGGGGACAGGGATGGGGACCAAGCAGGCCAGAGTGTCCCTCGGAGAGCTGGCATCAGAGCAGAGCAGTAATTCGCAACCTCGGATGGGCATCAGCAGCACCTGGTGTTGCCGGGCCCCGCCCCCAGAGGATCTGACTCCGACGGGCAGGGTGGAGCCTGAGAATTTGCATTTCCAAAATGCACCCAGGGACCACACTTTGAGACACTCTGCGGTGGAAGAAATTGACTCACCAAAGTTTACTCAAAATAGTGCGAGGGCTTTGACTGTGCGGCGCAGGGAAGGTGGTGGTCAGGTGGGTGAGGGGAGGTTATTGAGACCGTGATGTCACTGCAGCCCCTCAAACACTTTAATCCCCCATGCCCTCTCTTCCCAGGGACTCCTCACAGTTCCCAAGTGAGTATTACCCTGATCCCATTGGAAACATGAGAAAATAGAGACATGCTATCCAGAATTTAGGAACTGAACGCCAAGCCTAAGGGCTTCACCTAGGCCCTAAGTCCAGCCTTGAGGCTAAGTGGTGAATGCCAAGAAACCTGGGGCAGGGAAATATGGGAGGTTTGGCACACCTTCCTCACCAGCCCTCCTCCTCTCCCCTACCCTTTCCTGAAAATCCCTTATGGAAAGGTATAAACAAAATGTCTTTTACCCAAAGGCCAAGCCCAGTCATTATTTCATTTTTTCAGTCATTATTTCATTCATACATTCATTCAACAAATATTGAATGGCACACGCCTGTGATCCCAGCTACTCGCAGGTGAGGCTGAGGCAAGAAAGTTGCCTGAGAGATCAGGAGGTCGAGGCTGCAGTGAACCCAGATGTGCCACTGCACTCCAGCCTGGGTGAGAGAGCAAGACCACGCCTCCAAAAAAAAGGAGGTCAGTTGTGAGGCAGATATGATAGGCGATGGGGATCCCACAGTGACACAACCAGATGAAACAGATGCAGTGCCTGGCCTCTGAGAAGTCAGAATTTACCCAGGGAAGCAGACGCATGTGTGTGTAAAAGTATTAAGGAATTCCAAAAAGTAGGAAGTGCCTTGAG